GGAAGTAATATTCTAAGATGGGCTAGGGGATTTTGCCAATAGAGGGCTTCGTGTGAAAACTAGTTATTTTTCATACCACTTGGTGCGCTGTATTCACACTCACAAAATGATGACGTATGTCGTTTTAAGAGATCGGACATCAAATATGTTGAAGCAGCAGCGTTAGAGGTAGCAGGTTTGTTAATTATTTACAAGCATTTTCAATTGATTATTTTAAAATTAATGTTTTATAAATGTTCAGACAGAATGTTGCCTTTATTTATAATTACCTTTTCAAAATCCCATGTTTTTGATTTATTTGTAATATTTAGCCCGTTTAACCTCAATAAGTTTAAGTGTTTTTATTTATTTATTTATATATTTAATTCTATAAGTTATTTATTTGTTTTTTATTATTATTGTTGTTGTTTATTATTTTTATTTATTTATTTATTTATTTATTTATTTATTTATAATTATTATTATAATAATTATTATTATTTTTTTTTAGAATCGGCCAGTGAACTTCTGGGCCTGGGTGGTATTTGGCAAGTGAGATGACGAAAAATATTATAATTGTTTTATAAACACTGTTAAAAAAGACTTTGGCATAGATTGCATAAAAATGGAAAACTCTAGCAACTTAATCAACTTAATCTTCTGCATTCATTAAAGTGCAAAATTATGTATTTGGTTTTGTTCTATTGTAATAATGGACTTTTATTCACAAATCCTTATATCAGGATGCTTGGGTGTGGAGTTTATTTTAAAAAAATTGGCCTATAAGTATAAATAATAGTATATATCAGCACTTTGTTTTACATATCTAACTTAAGGATTTTCTTGTTATCAGTAATATTTTATATATTAATTTCTTATTCATGTTTCCCTTTCGATTAATATTTAATTTTCTGAGACATTTTAGCATAGATTTATATATACAGTATAACTGAATAAAATTACTAATGTTAAGCACTTTGTGTGTATGTATTTGATCACAGACAAATAGGAAATATTCTAGTATGAGTCAAAATTATCTTGAAAAAAAGGAACTATGATTAGGATTTAATGCTTTAAAATATCAAGTTATTTTTATAGTATTTAAAAGATAAATTTAAAACCAAATTCACATAGCTGTGGCACTGCCACAATTTATGTTTATGGGACCTTGGGCCTGGAGGGTCCATACATTTATAAATGTACTACACCTACATACTTGTGCATGCAGTTAATTAATTATATTTATCCCCACATATGTTAATAGGCAAAGCAATCCACATCATAATAATATGATCCATTATTACCAAGACAAATGTTCAAAGCAAAAATGTAGTGGTATGCTCAGATACTAAATTCACTACTTTTAAAATGTACATGCTCTTTTGTCTCTTTTAAGTATTAGCTACCTAGCAGTCTCTTAAGACTAAAGTTGTTTAATTAAAATCAGGGATTTGATTGATTTATGTCTGATAAAACTGCTGTTTGCAGACCTTTGTGTTGGATGGTATATCATGATCTATATATTGGCCATTTAATTCAAGTAATAAATGATAATTAAAATGATTCTGAAGTAAATTTGAATCAAATTAAAAGTAATAAAAATAAGAAGAAAGCAAAAATGCAATATGTAAGTAAACATATTTAAGCTACATAATTAATTATTCATATTAAGAGCCTGTAACTTGAAGTTTTATAAGTGAATAATTGTTCACTGTGTACTGTTTTAAGTGCTGTACATGTATAATCCACCGAGCTTAAACCTTTGAAAGATTGAGTCGAGAGTTTTGCACATACATGCTCGCTTTTAAGCAATGTCGTTGGTAACTAAATAATAGCAGAAAGTACAAAACTGTAGTACCAAAACACTTGAAGTATATTTATTCACACAAACCTTACAGTACTTTTAGCAGAACCATGTGAAGCACAGAAAAAGTAGTTAAAAAAAATAAAGAAAGAAAAAGATGCAGTTTATATAAGGGAGTTTAAATAATTCTCCATTTTTGCTTATGTACACATACTTACTAGTTCTTATATATATACATGTATAATAATATGGATTAAGTGCTCGACCTTCACAGATGACTAACCTCTGATAATCTCTTACGAGATGGGGGAAACACTATAAATTATTTGTTGTCTTGGGTAGAAATAAATAAAATGATATATGATAAAAAAAATGATGCACAAAATAGCTAACTGTCAATTCTGAAGCAAAAATATATTATAATTGTCAATATCATATTTCAATTGTACAAAACAGGTAGAATGAATATAAGTCAAATGTGTAACTAACATAAGGCTTCAAGCCCATAAAAGTTCAAGTTCATTATCAGAAAATGGCAGAAATACTAAATGAAAATTTCATACATTCAAGAAATGAAAATTTCATACATTCAAGAAAAAAAATAATAACCCAATCAAAATGTTTTTCCAAAATAAATAAATGATGATAATCCTATCAAGATGTTTTTCCAATTTGACCTGCATGTCAATCCATTCTTCTAAGTTACAAAATAATAACACAGTTTTTCTTTAATAACATTTGTGGTGGCAGTGCACGTAGTAGGTTTTTTGACAATTTTGATGCAATTTTTATGCCTGTTGGAGTTCTAAGTCCCACAATGAAAATGCCAATATGTCAAAAATTTAATTTTAATTAAAAAAAAAAAAAAAAAAAAAAAAAAACTGTATAACCTCCACAACAAATAACCAATATGCTTGGTTTTAAAATTGAAGCTGTATTTTAGTCCTATGTTACATTTCTGTAAGTTTGAGATGTGTAAAGGACATGGTTTTCTTTTTAATGGTCACTACTGTGGCAGTGCCCAAATAGGGTTTTCTTCACTTTTGATGCAATATTACATAATGCTTAACAGTATCATGACCATCAATTTTTAATATAATAAAAGTAGTATGGATATTTAGAAAATGTGTCCTGCAGAGGCCTTCAGGCCCATGGAAGTTCAAAGTCACACCTTGAAAATGTCAATATGTAAACAATTTTACTTCACAAAAGGAAACTGCATAACTTCCAGAAAAATTAACCAATCTGTGTCTGTACATAACAAAAACTGTCACAAGTGTTGCACTATTCAAAAGTTAATTTAATCTTCTGCCCAACAGGCATTACTTTGAATTGCCTCTTGTCTGCAACTACTGAAAATCAAGAAAAAGTTATTGTTAGTTATTAGTATTAATCATCAAACCATAGGTGACGTGGTGACATTTCCAAACAGACAGGAAAACGTGACCCCATCTATTTCGAAAGCTACATGTACAAGAGTTCAGGAATTTTAATATCAAAAACTGTGAGATACTAAAAGGCTTTCTTTAGGCTTTGTCAACTTTTAAGCAATTTAATGAATTTGCCAACTAAATCCATAAATTTAAATAGTAATTCATGTCTTTAAAATAAATAAAATATATTGATGCCCATTACCTCTTTCTTAGAATTAAATTTTTAGTATTTTATATGTAACATCCAACTCTAACTAGTAAATTAATATCATAATTCTCATTATAATTAATAAGTAATATTCCATACTCATACCAATATTTCTTAAAATCAGTGTGGCTACATTTAGTCTGAGTGCTAAAAAGTCCGGCTGGGAGATCCTTGGGGTTTTGCTTAGGCCATATTTCAATAGGTGCTCCACTGCCTGAATAAAAATTAATAATGATAACAAAATTACTATTTAATATACTAAGAAAAAAGAAAGGAAAATCCCACAATATTTTATGTATGTACACAAATATGTCTATACAAAGTCAATTTTGTTGTTCAAAACAGTGCTTAACCTTGCTGGGGAGTTCAGTAATAATTTTTTTTTTTGCCCTATAATGTTTAACTTGGGAACTCTTCACAGGTGTACAAGTTTAGAACTTATATTAAAATGTGCGCTTCGTAGGTCACCTAACTCACATGAATGCACCAAAGACCACAAGTGTATCCATCTTGTTGTTTGTCGTGGTCAATGGTCACATACTGACACGTGATGTCTTTCATTCTTGAGAAGTTGCTGAAAATACATTACAAGAAAAAATATACCTCTTAACCAAGCATAATATTGAATTGTCTAAACCTTGCACACATAATTAACATAATTTATTATTAATACTAAACAACATACATATTATTATTTTTTTACATGAGGAGACTGAATTAATATTGGACCATTAATATTCAACTACCCCCAGTTTCTTGTGATGACTTCTTTTTCCTGTCTTGTCTCTCCCAGTGAATTAAAAAACGTGAATTTACTGGCACCTTCCTTCTTTTCATAATACTATAGACACAAGTGAAAAAAAGCTCCAGTCATTAAATACACAAATACATGTACTATTTTCTTTGTAAAACATGATAATTAGACATATAATAGATTTGTAATTGCTTAATGTCAAGCATTTCTAGTATAACCACCTATATTTGTAAAAACAACCTTAATCCAAAATTTCAATCTAAGAGAGTCCCATATAAGGGTTGAATGATTCTAGGACAATCCCCCCCAGACAATCCCCCCCACCCCCACCCCCCCACCCCCCACGATTCCCTCTCAAAAATTTACAACAAATTCCCTTTTCATTGAGTACAAGTACAGGAAGATTTATTAAATGTAATTGAAGTATAACCACCTATCCTTCAGGTAAAGGTGGGAAAAACAGATGAACAGGTTTTATGAATATTTTTAGTGTGGTGGATGGTGGGTAGTGGTCAAGCAATTGAAAGTGACAAAAAGTCAAAGGGATACCTGGATAAGTGAAAATATCTGTTTACCCAACCTCCCCCTTGAGATGCACCTTGATTCAAGATTTACTCAATCAAGGGGGGAGTAATAAAGCAATTAAAAGTAACAGTTAATTCATCAAAGGGTTACCTTGATGAGTTAGAACATCTGTTTTCCCCTCCTTTACCTGGAGATATACTTTTAATAAAATATCTTTAATAAAATGTTCTGTACTTCTGCCTCAAAAATTTTATGTACTTGTACTCCATGAAAATAACATGTTTAATTCCATTAATATTATATATCCTTGAGTTGCATCATCACACTAAGAAATATTCAGAAAATGAATGAAAAGATTTGAACTTAAAACTCTTTACTTTTATATTTATTTATAAATAGTCATTCTTTGGGGGGGGGGGGGGGAATCGTCAGGAGGAATTGTCCTGGGGGGGAATTATCCTGATACCGGGTTGAATATTTACCAAGACAGAGTAGTGTCCTCTTCTGATACACACTCCTACAATCACATCATATACTTGGAGGTCTCTCTATACCACAACCAAAGAAAAAAAAATTAAAATAGAAGCAAGTGAAATTTCATTCAAATTAATCTATTAATTGAATTTTGGATAGGAAATTATTACTAACGGCATGCCACCATACCTATATTTTTATGGAAATTAAAAAAGTATTGAGAAAAATGTTCTTTTTTAACATAAATACAGAAGGTAAACTTTTAATAACTTTTACATATGTATTAATGGATTTTCAAAAGTTCTAGTAAATTTAAAGGTGGTTAAAATAAAATCCAATGTTTTCATCATATTATTTGAGTTTTAATTTACAACATCAACCACAAGAGACAGTGCAATCACATTTGAACAAAGTGCATATGGCTAACCTTAGAAAAGTAATTCATGTCTCCGTCATAAATAATCCTTGACATTATATGAAGGCTCATATGGAATACCTGTAAAAAGAATCATTTTTTAAAATGTGGGAAACATCTTGGCAGCTGTAAAATTCATAATATGCATTATCCTATCATGCATAATGCTATGATATACAAAGACTGATATATACAATAAATTCTTTTTTACAATTTTTATGTGACATTTAGAGCTTAAAGAGATAACTACTCTTTGTATGAGATTTATGCTTAATAATAAATAGATTTTAATCAATCACAGAAATATAATAAACTCTATTTTTCCACTAAAATGTTATTTATCACAAATAAATCTGGAATCTGTGCTTTTCATCGAATTACGCAACCTCCATAGATGACTAGCCTTTGTCATAATGTCTTAAGATAGAGACAAGCTTTAAAAAACTTGGACTAACTCTGAATATCGAAACGGATTTATTTACTATTGGTATGTAAGGGAAAACAGAAAAATCTGTTTTCTGGTAAAAATGAGAAGTTTTTTTTCCTTAATAAAATTTTTTTTAACAATAGTAATAACAATGATGGTTGTTATTATTACTTTTATGATTATTTTATATTTATCAATTCTAGCCAAATGTCATTGGTGATTTCGCATGTGACAATTAATTTTGTCATCTTATATTGTAATTTGTTAGAACTCTTACCTTCTTACCAATGGCACTTCTGCAACTGATAAGATCAAGATAACTGTCAATTACCTAAAACATAAAGCATGTTATGTATCTCATTTTAAGTTGAGTATGTACTATTAGAAATAAGGCAACTTCTGCAAGGCATTATTTAAGACTATGTAGCTCATTTTCACATTAGATATTGATAAGATTTTATATTTTACCTGTGCAACAAAACTGTACTTACTTCATCAGTAAGCATCCCATTTATAGATGAAATGCTATCGTATGTTATGTGGTGGGATTTATATTTTCCCAGAGTTATGTTGGTTGACTCCATGTTGGAGTCTTTGTAAATGACAGAGGGTTTGATACTTTCCTCAAAGATGGTGTTTTTCTTAAAAGAGGGAGTTACAATATTGGATTTGGTAGAGTGAACAGTGGTGCTTCTGTGGTTGGATTGGACAACAGAGCTGGTAGGCATAGATGATTTAGCTTTTGGGGCTTTCCTGCTAGAAAGCACGGCACTGGAGGTTAACACAATTGGCTCCTGACAGTTGAAGTTGTCCAACACTTGTTCCTCTTGGACAACATGGCATTCAACTGTGTCTCCTGAAAGAGCCAAGTTTATCCCATTTTGTCTTTTCATCATCTCCGCTTTATGCCCGACTCTTCCTGACTGTACGCATCTTTTCCCTGGTCTAATAGGTAAATGTGACTGAACACATTCTTTGGCTTCAGGTTTTGTGCCTGGCTTTTTCTTGAGTTGCAGTCGTCGCTTTTTGGCAGGACTGGGCCGTAAATCAACCCCACTTTCATTTGAAATTGACTCCTGTAACTTCTGAAGGATTGTTTTCAACTTTTCATTTGTGTGGCGGATGGCTTCACCATCTGTAACTAAATAGGTTTTTGACTTAATTTGTGCTAAAAGATCATGGCACTGGGAAAGTTCTGTTTGTTTGGGGAACATTGGTGTTGGGATTTCTGGCAAATTAGAAGATGGCACATTTACATGCACTTCATAGTTACCCGGATCTGTGTTATTTGGTGTGATCTTTGTCGATTTAAACAGGACCTCTTCATCTATAGTAAAAAACGGGGAGTTCCTGTAGTTGGCTGGTAGCTGGTCCCAGCTCTCACCTTTGAAACATAATAAACCAAACAAATGCTTGCATGGCAAGCCATTTAATTGCCAGTCCTGGCAAGTACAAGATGGTGCAACCTCTCCAGTTCCAAAGGTGAAAGTGTGCCAATATCCATGTTTGGTCTCACTTTGTATTTGATACTTGCCAGGACCAACCACAAAAATGGCTTCTTCCCTGTCCTCAAGATAGGATGCACTGGCTATTCTTCCCATACAATGTTTAGTAAAAAACTCTGGGCGATTCTGTAGATAAGAGGGAACTGTGGCATCATACTTCCTATAATATCCAGCATAGGTATTGTTCTTTTTTATGTATCTGAAAAATGAATGATATCTTTGATTACATTTATATCAGTCAGAAGTAAAAATTGACATATTTTTAAGACATGTAAATAATGCAGAATCATACATTGGACCTGGTAATTTTTTTTAAACATCTTTATTTCATGGCCTTGAGGGTTAAATATTGATACAGTATAAATAAAGGTGGAAATTCGCCTAGGCATTATATGCTCACCTTTGAAATTTGATAATAATAATAATAATAATAATAATATATGTTAGGTGGGGACTGTCGTCAATAATCTGCATAAACAAAGTAATAATACAGGCACACAATCGTATGTCCCCGCTCTCCCTCAGGGACCCCACTCCCTTGATATTCATGACTGCCTGGATCTGATTTTTAATTATTGCAAATGATCTTCATAATAACAGCATAAAATAAAATC